CGTGCCGCGCAGCCCAGCCGCCCGCTCGCGCTCCAGTCGCCGTGTCTAGCAGCGGGGGCCCAGCATGGTCATGGCGGATGGCCCGAGGCACTTGCAGCGCGGGCCGGTCCGGGTGGGGTTCTACGACATCGAGGGCACGCTGGGCAAGGGCAACTTCGCCGTGGTGAAGCTGGGGCGGCACCGGATCACCAAGACGGAGGTGCGGCCCGGGGCTCGGCGGGAGCGTCCGGGGCGAGGGCTCGGGGGCGGGGAGGCGCTGGATTTTATTTGTTTTACGTGAGGGGAGGGGGCCCGGCTGCAGCGGTGCGGCCGCGGGGACCCGAGACCCGGGGAGGCTGCGCCACTGGCCGAGGCGCGCGGGCCTGGGACCGTGCGGACCCCGAGGGGTGCAGGGGGCCGGGGGGGGGAGGCCCGGGACGGCGCCGGGGTCCGCTCGCCCGGACACCCCCGGCCCGCCGGAGCGTTTTTCCATCCCCGACGCCAGACCGGCTAGCCGCTCGGAATTCTCGCCTGGAGCCTCCCACCTCTCCCGGGCCGTGACCCGGTGTGTGGTCTCCACTCCGGAGCCCAAGTTCCGCGTCTTCCCCGCTTTCGGCTGGAGGCGGGGTGGGGGGGAGGTGCGGTGTGGTGGGAGGGGGAAGTCTCGGTGTCCCCCGGGCTGAGCACCAAGAGACAGCCCGACCCGGGGGAGGGGGGAGCCGTCTGCGAAGTGGGCTCCGTGGGCCCGGGTCGCGCGGGCCCCTGACCCCGGCGTCCTTCCCTGCTCGGAGGAGAAGGGGGTGGGGGCGGCGGCGTGGTCCCGGGCTGACGGTCACTGCCCTTCTCCTCTGCATCTGCCCCGCGGGGTGTCTCGAGTTGCTGTCTGGTTAGTTCGATCTCCGGGGTGAGCTGTTTCCTTCTCCTACTCCAGACAATAGGACTGGTTAAAATGGTCATCGCCGCCTTTGCACCGCTCGCTGGGTTGTCTCTCTACCTGGGGTGCGTTCCGCCGGTGAAGTCGCATTCCTTGCAAACCAGACGGGATTGCCGCTCTACTGCTTCCTGACCGAGACTCCAGCACCCCCCCCCCCCCGCATCCCGGTCCTTTGCACATTCTAATGCACCGCACACATTTTCTCACGTCTCTGCTCTTACCTAACCCACCCCCTTCCCTTCAACCGCCTCGAGCTACTCTTTCACTCTCCTCGGGGTCTCTATTTTAAGATGTGCAAATTAAATACCTTGGGGTGGGGGGGGGAGAGAAAAAAAAGGTAGGAATAAAACCATAGAATAACACCTAGTGGTTTTGACGTACTCTGGTCTGTCTTACTGTAATTGCCACTCGAGTTTCACCATTTTTCATCCTGTTGCCTTTTTTTTCTTATTAGTACCGGTATACAAGTCTTCGAATGTAGAATGAAGTAGGACTGTCTCTGTGTCTTTCTGTCTCTCTCTCTCTCTCTCTCTCTCTCTCTCTCACACACACACACACACACACACACGACTTATGTAAGCTTAGCGAGAGGCATTTGAAAACTTGAGTGATTTTCCTAGCAGTTGTTGTACTTAGAAGTTTTGCTTAGTGTCAGTTTCCAAAAAGAAGAGGAGCGTCCAAATCGGATTTATTTGGGGCATGAAGACCAAGGTCGCAAATTTTCTTCGTATAAATGTATGGATGCTCTTTTTTTTTAGGTTGAATGTGATGATGAGTGTAATTGCCATGACTCAGTCTTTGCAAAGACTTAATCTGGTCCCAGCTTTTTTTTTTTTAATGAAAAGGAAGAAAGTGGTTCCATTCCTCTAAGGAGCCATTACCAAATGTCATATACCATTTAAGTTACATCAAAAAATAAAACACTTTGAGGTTGTTTTTAGACTTTTCAGTGGCTGTCTTAGAAAATCAAATAGCACATATAGAGAACTTTTGAGCTACTTAGTGGTTGAATACTCAATCTATCCTTTCATAATTTTTTTCTTAGAAGCTTTTAGGTTTACCAAGTTTTAATTGCTGGCTGTTATTTGCCAGGGCCAGTATAAGTAATATAGTATCTGTTTAAGAGCTGGGTAAGTGGAACTAATGGTAAACTGACACTTTATAGAGATTGACAATTCAAATGGTGTTCCTTTCAACTGGTATTTCTTAGTGAGTGTGCTAGGGGGCGCCGTGAAGTAACACCGTTTGGGGTGTTTTATGGAGTTTTTGTTTTGTTTTGGTTTTGGCATTCAGCTAAAGTTGGACCATGCATTTGTAATTGAAGGCACCAGGTAGATCATCAAAGAACATTCAGATCCTACATTGTGTGGCCGATGTGTATAAAATGATTTATGTTAAAGGTTGTATTGTTAGCTCATACTTTGCATCTTCCTTGTGCTTTTCAAGATTGCCCTTTGTAAGCATTTGTGGTAATTTTGTGTAGATTGGAGATAAGGTTAGAGGGATGAGAAGTGGCCTGGCAATTTCTGAACAGCAAAGTTTTGTAGCTGTCTTTATAATTGCAAAGTTTCTCTGTGATTGTTACAGGTAATTTACAAAAAGAATTGTTTAGCAAGAGAATGGATACAATTGTTCCTTAAAGTATATCATTGTTTATTATTGAGCTTTAAGTAGCAGATTTTCTTTATTTACTGGATAAATAAGTCAGATAGATGTAACTACCTTAAAAACTATTACAACTGTGAAAACTTAACACTTGGTATTAAGTTCTCATTACTTAACATTCGGCAGTAATTGCAGTGAAAATATGGAATAAAGAAAAAGGGTATTGGCAGACTTTTGACTACATTATTGTTTATAAAAGTTTCTTCATGTGCACTGTCCCTGAGCTGCTTTGGCACAAGGCTAGCAATCTACCGCTTGAGCCACAGCACCACTTCTGGCTTTTTCTGTTTATGTGTACTGAGGAATGGAACCCAGGGCTTCATGCATGCTCTGCAAGCATGCCACATTCCCAGCTCCATATGGAATGTTTTTAGCATGGGTTTACATTTGTGTTTTAAAACTTAAAGATCTCCCCGGCACTACACCAGTTTGATTCTGAGGCCAATTTCAGGGCTTAGTTTACACATTGACATGATGGAAAATTAAATCCTTATATTATTTTTTCCTTTTTTTTTTTTTGTTGGTTGTGGGGCCTGGGCTCTGCCCCTCAGGTATTCCGGCTTTTTCTGCTTATGTAGTGCTGAGGAATCGAACCCCAGGGCCTAGTGCATGCAAGGGAAGCACTCTACCACTGAGCCACCTTCCCAGCCCCTGAATCCTTTGATTTTTAATTGAGCCTTCTTTCCTGTCCTATCTCACTTGAAAGAGATGTGTTTTCTGCAGAATTTAGGAGATCCAAGTTTATTTCTGTCTTAGGGGAAATGAATAGACAAAAGTTACCTTCATTTTGGTCTAATCTATCAAATAGCTTAACATTGCTTAAGAAATACAGTTGAATCATGTGAAGCAGTATTGGTATGTTAGATTTCTATGTCAGTTTTGCTCACAAAAGGGAAGGTAGGTGATAGTAGAGTCCAGATTCCTATATAATACTTAATAAAAGTTTTGTAGTACTGGTTTGTGGCTTATGAATTAAAGAAGCTACTCTTTGTAAGATGAGCATAATAGGAAAATGATAATAACATTTGGACTGTTAAACTGTTTTAGGCAATAGTGGCTTCTAGTTTTCGGTTCTGTCCTTAGTGGTATTTTATTTTCCTAATACTATATTTGGAAGCAACTTTTTCCATCTAGCTTACTATATAGATTTTGTCTTAAGTGAAATTCCAGAAAAACTACTTGTGCCCTTGTTTTCATTTTCTGGTAAAAAAATAGTTTTAACATAGAAAATATAAAGAATAAAGTGAGCAGTATACAGAAAGTATATGTATAATTCCCATACCAATAAGTTATTCTTAACATTATGTCACATTTCCCTCTACTCTTTTTTGAAACACATTTTTCTATAGATAAAAGCACATGGTATATGTAATATAAATTTTTCTACCTTTAGTAATGCAGACACATTTTTGCTTATAGTATATAACTTTGTAACATTTTTACCAGTTTTTGTTCTTGTAATTGTTATTAACAAGTTGTACAAAGGGCTTGCAATTGCGTGTCAGTTTATGAGTACAATGCTTCTTGGCCAGGGTCACCCCTTTATAATATTTTAATATTACATGCTACCTTGTGACTGTATCTTACTTTACTATTGTTTGTCTAATTTTGAATATTATATAACTTCCAATTTTCACTTAAATAGTTGCCAAGGAGCCTTGTCAACTAGTTATGTCTCTATTTAAATTTTTGTGGAAGAATAATTGCTGTTAAATTTCTGGAAGGGAAATTTCGAAGTGAGAAAGTATTATTTTTACATTAAAGAGTTACATTTTTTTATACAATTTAGGTTTATTATTTGTAAACTTGAAAATATAGATAAATGAAAAAATGACCTACCCTGAGGTACCACCGTTAGTTATTTTCAGATTAGTCTCTGAAAGATAACTGAGTGTTCCTAAACACCATACCTCTTAAACTGCTTACTTGTATATTCAGGTAAATGTATGCTCCCTTGAATTTTACTGACTTTTCCTGAAAGTGGGCCTATTAAAATGGCATGTTGGTATTAGATTACTTGCCTCTCTTAAGAGAACCTGGAATGCAGAACTGATACCAAGCTCACTCTGAAAATTGCTTGTGTTCACTAAAAGCTCTCTGCATTTTAGGACTTTTCTCTTTAGATCTAATTCTTAAACTACTACCTTAAAAAGGTAGGAGATTTTTTTTTAATTTTCCAAAATAAAGTCTGAAAATTTTATTTTTATAGCAAGAATACAAAGAAAAGAGCATATTATATCATATTTAAAATATTTCTCAAAGCGAACTTATGTTTTAAATGTATTTGGATAATTTGCTTTGAAATTTTTAGCTCTGTTCACTAGTCCTGGTGTTTATTTTGTACTTCAAAGTATTCCAGATTTCAAGCAGTAGCTGTCTAATGCACAGTAGGACTTGTTAGCAAGTAACTTAACCTCTAAGTTGTATCTAAGCCCATTTATGATCTTTAACTGTGTACTGAAATAGAAATTATATTTGTCACATAATGTATATGTGCTTTGTTAAAATTGTCCTCTAGTTTCTTGGTATCCCAGACAAATAGTAATTGGCAAACTATTCTGCTAAATATTGCTCAAAACCATGTACTCTTTTGGGGAGGAAAGGAGAAATGTGCAAAATAAGGATTGTGTAAATCCTCATATTCTGTAGAAATTTTTAACTTTCAACAGAGTTTAATGTGTTCTGATCTTATGTCCTTAGAGAGATTCTCTCAGGATCAGACCATTAAGAAAACATTTATTTGGAAATAACTGAAACTGGCCTCTCTTGAATTCAAATGATGACATTTGATTTATGTCCCACTGCTGATTGCAGATTCATTTCCTTAGCCTTCTTTGGATTCCAGAATTCCTTATATCTTTCTTTCCTTTTAAAAAATATATCTGCAACCTCTCCTCCTTTTACTTCTATCTTTGCAAAGCAAGTTGTTTGTGGAAAAGTTTCTTCATACAGAACATTTGTGGAAAATGCTTTCCCAGCCTTCAGAGAGAAATAATCTATATAACCAATTGGAGATTGTCAGGAGTTTCAGAGACACTTAAACAGGAATTTCAGTAGTCAATATTCATTTAAAATTTTTGAAATATTTACTACTACAGATTAAGACCTATGTTTTTGGTGGACTGAACTGAGAAACAGTGCTAAACATTTAAAGTTCCTTTTCAAAGTCAACCTAATATTTACATGGTTTTCTTCAGATTACAGAAGTTGTACATGTTCACAGCCATTGTTGGAAAGCCTAAAGAAGAAGCAACTTCCTTGCTTCTGTTTTCAAAACACAGGCTATTTGGTTCATATCCTCTTAGTGTTTCACATATATTTTATGTGTATGCAGTCATTCACATATATAATCTGTTTTTATTTAGAATATTGTTAACATTTCCAAGTATAAAAAACACTATATGAAGCAAAATCTAATAGTGTTCTTGCATATGAGTATTGCATTTAATTTAGTTAATTTCCTGCTAGTTAACATTTATTTATTTCGACCTCATGCTCTATAACATAATGTCTCAGAGAGCATTCCTTTATGGGTAGTTTTGTACATTTGAACCTAATTGTTTCCTCAGGACAATTCTATAACAATGGAATTCTTGGGTGTGTATGTATTATATGTACATACACAAACATACACACACACACACATTCCTATTTAACACCCAAAAAAAGAGGACTCACAAATTTTCACTAGGAAGAGCACACAGTTTCCAGGAATATTATCTTTTAAATCTTTGCCAATATTGGCAAAGTGAAGAAATTACTGCCCTTCCAGGCTGCAAAAAGTCAAAGAGGATTTATTTTATTGCTTATGTTCTTTTATTTGTTTGTTTGTTTGCCAGTTTGCCAGTGCTGGGCTCTGTCCCTAAGCTTCTCTTTGCTCAAAGTTAGTACTCTACCACTCGAACCACAGCACTTCTGGCTTTTTCTGTTTATGTTTATGAGGAATTGAGCTCAGGGCTTAATGTATGCTAGGCAAAGCACTCTACAACTACAACTAAGCTACATTCCCAGCCCCTATTATTATTATTATCATTATCATCATCATCATCATCATTATTATTTGCTGTCTTTTTTTTTTTTTTTTGCCAGTCTTGGGGCCTGAACTCTGGGCCTGGGTACTGTCCCTTAGCTCTTCAGCTCAAGGCTAGTGC